AATGATATGTAATGGGTTTTATCAAAATTTAATGAGAGTAAATTGGCTTCGAACCATCTGTTTAACTCTTTGACTGGCGCGAAGGGTATTTAAATCCCACCCCTGTCCTGGCAGGCCCTTTAAATCTTATGTCACTAAAATGCATGTAGTTACTTTTTCCTAAACAACTTCAACAAAAATTGGTTTTTAAAAACGAAATTTTCAGGAACTAATTAAAAGACAATATTTTATGCAATAAATGCCTTTTCACGCCTCTTTATTAGTTTTTCTTCGTGTGATAAACATTGAAACATGAAAGTTTGCAGAGAGCCACACCACAACCTGCACAAATGACACTTGTTTCTTTTCTAATCTTGTGCTTAGCACTCACGCGACACTTTCTCAGGGCTCCATTCTTCTTGTTACTGGAAGGAACATGGACCATTTTGTGAATTTTCAGCCAACCCTCTAGACGATTTACTGGCTCTTACACTGGTGGTCTTTTCAAGGTCGAGGGCGGAGGCGTGACTGCACTCGAGTCTGTCGCAATAGATTCATCCACTTCATTCCTTGACTCTTCTCCCTCTACACACTGTCTGTTTGGTTCAGTCATTTTTCTACACAGTCCAATATAAAATCTTTGAATTTGTAATTTCTCTTCTTGTATTTTTCGTTTTTTGTGTTCTTTTTGAATAGAATGAAACTATTCAACCGCAAAGACATGTTTTGTCCATACCATGGAGTGTGAAATAGGGGCCTAGTGAACAAATATTCTTCAATTTCAGGGCGTTTGTCGATTCCTGTCATGAACACAATTCCTAAGTATGTCCAGATTTCATCTGATCTGACATATTTGTAATTGTGTTTTCGAGAGTGAGGAGCTAACTCATGTGTTGAAGTGCTGGTGAGCATAGCGATTGGTTTCAGTTGTGATGTGATTTACCAAGTCGTCTCCAGAAAAAATTTTAATTCATGAAAACGGATGCATTTTATGTGTTATAATAATTTTGATCCTGAAACTACTAGCAAATAGAACTATTGTTGGTACAATGTCTTCGTACGTTCATGAGATGGGCGTGTCAGGCACCACAGTCGTGGTAACTAAATGTTCATGATTACTGTCTTGTGGATCACTATCACTGTATTATTGTCACTATCAACTTTATCTAATTCAGGTATCATTATTTCATCGCCACTATCATCATCAGCACAAATCTCCTTCACCACACTTTCCAGCTGGTCTGTAGGAACACGCCGACACTTGCTGCGAGAAGCCATGGTGAAACTGAATGAATGTTAAATATTTTCTGACCCTAATGCTATATTTTAGCGTCCTGTTGCACTGATTTAAGTCCATGATTTATTTAATCCGTCTTGCAGTGCATACACTCATTTATTTCCTTCTCTCCCTCGCACTACATGTTTCGGCATAATAATGCCATCTTCAGGTGCTTACTTATCCACGTCAAACCAGTTCATTGCATGCCATGTTCACACATTAAAATAACTAAAATATGTATCTATCATATACATTGTCAAACGTTAAAAATATTAAAATTGTTCAGGATACCACATCGCTACGTCGCCCCTCACTACGTCAGTCACGCCCATTC